AACCGGAAAAATTCAGGGGGAAACCGGGTTTTTTCCGTTTTTTTCCTGAAGCCTTTTTTGTTTTTTTCCGAAAAATTGGAAAACTTGAAAAAAGAAAAGAAAAAAAATGATTATGGAACGTTTTATTTTAACATGATGAATAAAATATTTTAAGACAAGGTGTTCAAATATTTTCCAAATAATTTCTAAAATATATATATATGGTATCAGATTGATCTAATTTCTGTGCACTGAGGACAAGCAAGTCCTAGGTTACAAACTAAACTCTCCAATGCAAGAACAAGATGCATTTCTTCCTTTAGGAGGTGCTATTGTCAGAAGAAAAGAAAAAGGTTACAGTTTTGTTTTTGCATGTGGGTGGGTATTCTGTTTGTAATAATTGTTTGGATACACTATATTTTAATATGCTAGTTGTGATAATTTCACGCCAAGTAAAAATGTCCATAGTCATATTTTATGTTCCTAAAGTAACAGAATGACTTATAATCTAGAAAAGACAAAAGAAATGCTAGCATTTTTTTCAATTTTTCCAAAAATTTCCATTTCCCCCCGAAAAAAACTGGGGGAAAAACGGTTTTTTTCCCGAGCTTCAAAATTTCCGGAAATTTTACATCTCTAGGCAAAACAGCCAGAAATACTGACACACACACACACAATACAACTCTAAGAAGCCTTGTCTCTTTGTAGGACACCCACACAACTAGACTTCAAACTTCCATGCTTTGTAGAAGCCTAGTCATCCAAGCGACAGGCCACAAAGATGGAGGAGGTACCCCAAGAAGCGTGTGCAGTTTCATCAGACTTTTAACAACATGACACTGGCAGGCAGCTCAACAGAACTTTGGCCTGGATGCTCACAAGGGAGAGGAAAGCCAAAAAGCAGCCAAACAGGCTTTCTTCTGACCACACCCACCCCATAAACTTCACTCCCAGGGTGAAGAAGCATCAGCCACAAGGGTGCTGGAACTCAGCAGAATGCCTCACTAGCTGCCAAGGCAGCTTTGCTTTGGGTGCCTCAAAAGTGGCCACAGTTTTGCATAGGAATTTAGGCTTGCTTGGAAAAGAACTCTGAATGCTACCCAGAGCCTGTGAAAATGCTGCTGCAACCCATGCAAAGTACCTACACCAGTTTAATACAAACTCATGAAGATGAAGTTGCCTTCAGGTCAGGCAGACCAAAGTCAATATTGTCCTCTCTGACGGGCAGCGGCTCCCCAGGGTCTCAGGCAGAGGTCTTGCATCACATCACCTCCTGCCTGGTCCTTTTACCTGGAGATGCCAGGGACTGGACCTGGGGCCTTCTGCACGCCAAGCAGAGGCTCTGCCACTGAGCCACAACTGCTCCCCAAAACACACATGAAGCTACCTTACACTGAATCTGACCTTACACTGATCAGTCCATCAAAGTCAGTGTTATTTACTCAGACCGGCAGCAGCTCTCCAGGGTCTCAGGCAGAGGTCTTTCATCACATCACCTACAGCCTGGTCCCTTTTAACTGGAGATGCCAGGGATTAAAACTGGGACCTTCTGCATGCCAAGCAGATGCTCTACCACTGAGCCACGGCTGTTCTCCAGAACACACATGAAGCTGCCTTCTACTGAATGAGACTCTCGGTCCCTCAGCATCAGTATTGTCTACCTTGACTGGCAGTGGATCTCCAGGATTTCAGGCAGGGGTCTTTCCCAACACCTGCTACCTGGTCCTTTTCACTGGAGATGCTGGGGATTGAACCTGGGACCTCCTGCATGCCACGCAGATGGTCTACCACAGACCCAGCGTCCCTCCCCAACACAGGAAGTTGCCTTAACCTGAATCAACCTCTTGGTCCATCAAGGTCAGTATTGCCTGCTCAGACTGGGAGCCGCTCTCCAGGGTCTCAGGTAGAGGTCTCTCCCATCATTTAATGCCTGGTCCTTTTAACTGGAGACGCCGGATGTTGAAGCTGGGAACTTCTGCATGCCAAGCAGAGGCTCTTCCACTGAGCCACAGCCCATCTTTGCAGCTCTCCAGGGTCTGAGGAAGAGGTCTTTCCCAGCACCTGCTGCCTGGTCCTTTTAACTAGAGATGCCGGGGATTGAACCGGGGACCTTCTGCATGCCGAGCAGATGCTCTGTCACTGAGCCACAGCCCCTCTT